TGAGGAAGGGGGCACGCAGCATGAGAAGAGAAAAAGGTGCATGTGCAGGAATAAACTCAAAATGGATTGAAAACTTAAGGTCAGACCTGATACTGAGCCCAGTGAGCCAGGACAAGTAGGCTAGGAAACGGAGGCAGACGGCGGGACAAGCTGCCCGAGCGTGGACAGCAGATACAGGTCACAGGACCCAGCCACTCAGGCAGGACGCGGCCAGCACTCCGCGTGCCAGGCTGCAGGCTGGGGCTGGTGTTCTGGAAGCTCTTCACGCCTGATGTGAGGGCCGGCTGCCACCACAGCTCCCTCTGCAGCACAGGCCTCCCACCCCCGCTTGTCACCTCCCTGGTGGCACCTCCGTGGCTTGCAGGAGGGCTGTGTGGACTGCTTCTTCCCCGACGGGCCCCCCATTTCCATCGGGCCAGCTTTCCCACCACATGGCCCTGTCCTCAGGTCAAGAAAGGACCAATAGGAAACGCCAGAGACCGAGGGGAATTTGTCACCAGATGCATCCTGCATGGAGCTCATCGCCTGTGTTCCCAGAAACCCGGGAGTCACCACGCCTGGCATCACCCAGTAGCTTTAGGGGTACAGCGCCCACACCTTCACCCCTCTCGTTAGGAGGAACTTAAGAAGGCTCTGTTCCCGCTTTCTGACTTATGGGGACAGGAGGACAGCGTATCTGAAATGTCAACTGCCACACAGATGCAGAATCCGCCCTTAACCCAGAGTCTTTCGCTCTCTCTGGGCAGATACTGTCAGAACTGAGTTGAACTGTAGGACACCCAGCTAGTGTGAGCCTGTTTGCTGGTGTGGGAAATACACCCCCAAACACACATGCAAATGTTGGAATTGGTCCCAGAACCCTAAAAAAACAATAATTTACAAAAACCCTCCAAGTGCCCCTGCTGCAATGCGTCCTGCTAGTTGGTAATGAAAGGAGGTGTCTGTACTAATAAGGAGCTGGGTTCTCTAAGGTCCAGAGGCTCTGCCCACTACAAAGCCATGCACATGCAGGTGCTTAACTTCCAGGAGCTCCACCGCACACTCAGAGCTGGGAGCCAATTCCCAGCTCACCCGGGGTCAGGAGACACTTGCATGTCAACAGGCCGGTGGGAAGTCCTCACAGAATACAGGGCATTGAGTAGGCATCCCCGAGAGCCACCCCGTAGTGCAACAGCAGGGCTAACCTAGTCCTGAGTAAAGGCCACGCAGTTTACAACCATCCAGTAAATCGAAAAACCCTGTCGTCTGTAACCAAGGACACTGAAGAGTAAACAGTCTGCCCGGCTGGCGTGGCTCAGTGGTTGAGCATCGACCCATGAACCAGGTCACCGGTTGACCCCGGAGCTAACCAACCCCGCCCTCATTACAAACAATCCCCTTTCAGGTCCTGCCTCACGTATGGCGGGAACCCCAAGCGCGCAAATGGTGGGTGCTGAGAAAACAGCTGCTGATACTGGTCTGTCATGATTTTGGAACCAGCAAGTTTCTCCCAAATGTACATCCTCTTGAAGTGAGTGGGGATTTCCTGAGGGCGGCAAGCTCGGCCCAGGGTGAGTCAGCCTGACACGTGCTGGGGCCAGAGCGAAGCAGCTTGGGTTTAACACGTGAGGACAGTCATGAGTCAGCTCAGCAACACTGTAACTGCTCTCCAGGAAGAGTCTGTTTACTGGGGAGAGCCCAGCAGACTCTGGAGTGAGCTCACAGTCGATGCCTGCCCTTCCCCGAGGATCTGCGTGGGAACGCCAGGGACAGAAAGCCTTCGGTCTCTTGGTCTGAGTGGGTCTTATAAAGGCCACGGCGCGTGGACGGTAGGCACATGAGGACAGACGGACACATCTCAGGGTCCAGCCACATCGCGATCTGCATGGCCCGCCGACGAAGGCAGTTTCACAGGACTGTGGGAGTCAAGGGAAACCATTCCACTGATTCTCTTGGAGGAAAAGGGTCAACACCAAAAGCCAAAACAGGATTTTGGGAGGAAGCCTATAGAACATGTAGCAGGTAATGCCAACAATTCTAGAAAAACCGTTAGAGCTGGAGTCATGTTCCAATCCAAACACTGTTATTGTTGTTTTCAAGTCCTCCAAGGACATGCTTGGGGAGAGCAAGGGGGGGGAGAAACTTTCATCGGCTGCCTTCGTCCCTGCCCTGACTGGGGACTGAACCTGCCCTCTGGGTGCACAGGACGACGCTCAACCGAGCCCCTCCAGCCGGGTGACCCACTGTTTTACAGCTGACGACACAAAGGCCCAGACGGAAAGTGACACGGCCTAGCTCCCTGAGGAGCACGCTGGGACTCGCAGACGCCCTGGACCAGCCGCGCTGGATACCAACATGGACGGAGCGGCTCATGAGGACACCCAGGCATCATTCCAAACACCGTAACGTCTTCACTTTCACCCCCTCTTCCGCCCAGGCTGCCCAGACCGATTGGTATTTTGTATTTTCATTTGTTAAATATAGCTGCAAAGGGGCAGTTTTTATTTATTTATTTTTAAAAAAATATTCACAGAGAGGAAGGGAGAGGGATAGAAAGTTAGAAACACCGATGAGAGAGAAACATCGATCAGCTGCCTCTTGCATACCCCCGACTGGGGATGTGCCCGCAACCAAGGTATATGCCCTTGGCCGGAATCGAACCCGGGACCCTTCAACCCGCAGGGCGACGCTCTATCCACTGAGCCAAACCGGTCAGGGCAGGGGGCAGTTTTTAAACATACAAACTTATATTCGATTTCAACATTTACTGAATATCTGCTGAGTCAGGAGATGGTCCTGGGCCATGGGAAGCACAGAGGAATGAGGCAGCTCGTTACGCATCACCCCGGGGTCAACAGTATCGCAGCCTGGCCCTACCACGTGGCCCTCTAGTGGGGGGAGTATCTGAGCAACAAGGACAAAGGATTTGATTATTTCAGTCTGGTTTCTGGTGAGAACTTAACCACAAAATCCAACTGTTTTAGCTCATCCTCGGCCTGAGAAGGCGTGAGCAGCCAGGATGCCGGCCCCAATATCAGGCAAGAACTCTGAGGGTTTCAGCAGCAGGCCATTTCCACTCAGAGCCCGTGGGGCGCCCTGGGGAGGTCTGGACGGAAGAGAGAACTCCTGTATCTGGCCAGAGCCCACTGGAGACATGAGCTCCAAGAAGGCGCGTTTCACTTTTTCAAACATTTCGACTTTGGAGCATTTAAAAGTGACAGGCGGTTGTGCTAGATGAGAAATCAAGGCGGTTCCGTCTTATTCCTACCTCCCAGTGACCTGCGAGTTTGGGTGGAATCTCCAATCCCAGCTTCTCCAGCTCTCGCTCCCTATACTTCTCATATTGCCGGTAACCTGCGTACCCGCCGCCGCCAGTCAAAACCAGAAATGGCAGGGGGCGCAACCGGAACAAGGCTCGAGCAGGGGCAGTGTGAACTTTTCTGGCATCTGTAAGAACAAAAAACCAACAACAGCGAAAATGGTGAGCCTGGGAAAAGGGACAGGAAGGAGTCATGCAAGCCCGGCGCCAACAGGAGGGCCAGGAGAAGGCAATGCGTCTTAGAAGCCTGTGCAGGTGAGTGGCCTCT